ATGGCTGCCTCTAACCTATCGCTATGCTAACTCCTCCTCTCTTGCCCACTGCGTCCTCCGGGCTCATCTGCAGACCTCCTTGCACAAGCTGCTGTGGCAGCGCTTCCGCATGGATCACGCAGGAATCAATGAATGGCTGGGCGCTGCCTCTTGATTTATATTTCAGAAATTCGTTGGTCTGCCCTTTACCTTCGGCCCTTGGTGCTCACAGTCCCCCTGTGGTACTTGCTGGACTGGACTGGGACTCTCTAGACCCTTCTCCTGACTGTAGGCAGTCGTACCGTCGACTCAGTGCAGTTGCACTGAGGTCCTACCTGTTGACCTTGCCACTTGTCTTCGTCTGAAAAACGTGGGCCTACCTTAGACTCACCACTTGACCACTTGCCRACCTTCTAGAAGGACTAAAGCTGGGCTTCTGGACTCTACTTGGACTCCTACCCTACAGGTCTACAGTTCGAATCTTCCTACAGCCTACAACCTACGGTGACCTACTTACCACTGGCTATCGTACAGGTCACGGGTTCAACTCCAGGGAACTGTACAGATACTGTACACAGGTAAGCTGAGGTCAAGGGATCGACCCCTGGGATCTGCATCGGCTACTGCCAAAGGTGAAAACTGTTTCACTTCCAACCTGGAGTGGACTGCAGAAACTGTGTTTGGAATGCAATTTCAAACTTTTTTTGTGAACCCCACGTAGTTACCCCTTTTTTTTTTCTTTTTTTTTTTGGGCTGCACCGCATTCTGCCGCAGTGCAATACAAAGGCAATGCCGGACGGGCCTGGGGATTCGTGCATGTTGCCGCAGTGCAATACAAAGGCAATGCCGGACGGGCCTGGGGATTTGTGCGTGTTGTCGGGCTCAGTCCTGCGGAGCTTTTTATTTCTTTCGATTTCTATACCCCCCCCACAAATGTCCAGCGTCCCTTACAAACAATGGCGACCGCCGCCCAGCTCCAAACCCTTTCTGTTTTGTTTTTTTTCTTGTCTCAATCTAAACTTAGGCATCCGTTGGAACGATACAGCGAAGGGGGCATCAGTTCTTGCTTTATGAAATGGAATTTGAACTTTAAATATTGAAAAAAAAAAGGGGTAACTACGGCGCAGTCACTAAAGCAGTTTGTAATTGCATGTGAAATTGCAGTTGAAACTGGCTGCACAGTTCAGTCAGGGCCCTCGTCTATCCACGAACAGCAGATAAAAAAAGAAAAAAAAAGCAACAACATCCCTTATGCTGTGATTGCGGTCCTATACAGGATGCTACAGTGTTTGTCTGGAACTGAATGAAGCGAGGCAGCTAACTGCCTCGCGTGGAATCCGCCCCGCCTGGCTGGCAGGGCGCTACAAGGACCTCACACAAGTAACAAAAAAGGAAAACGACCTGTTTCATGTTCCTCACTTCCTGGCCAGATACATTCCTCAAAGCACTGGTGAGGTGAGGGCCTTCCCTACGTAGGTGGATTTGAAGTTCCTCGTTTCTCTACTTTTTTGTTTCTTCTTTTTCTTTTTTCTGTTTTTGGCCTCCATCCCTGCCCCGAGCTCCCCACTTCTTCGGAGTAGGCTACTCTTGAGACTTCGCGTTTGCCTGTGAAGGGTAGTACCTGCGAATCTCGGCTCTGGCCGAGACATCTCGGCCGTGCCCAATCTGGGGCGTGGCCGAGACATCTCCGCCCTGGCCAGTCTGGGGTGTGGCCGAGACATCTCCGCCGTGGCCAGTCTGGGGTGTGGCCGAGATGGCCCAACCATGGGGCTGTTTTTTTTTTTTTTTTTTTTTTTACCAGCCGCGGAGKGACACGACGCAACCCAAAAAAAAAAACAAAAAAAAAACGAAGACAGAAAGAAACGGCCATGTGCCTGACTGAACTGCGAGAAAAAGCCAGCCCGAGTTTCAAACTGCTAAAACGCCAAATGCAATTGAAACTCGGTCCCTGACTAAACTGCTAAAACGCAGTTCCAAATGCAATTACAAACTGTAACCCTGACTGCGCCGTAGTTTTCTCAAAAAAAAAAAAAGGTACAGCGAAGGGGAGACTACCTTTGGAGATGACACGCATAAATCGAGGCACGCATGAATCGAGAAATGGTCCCTGACCAACGACCCTAGCTCGGTTGGTACACCCATGACTCACAACTGTTGAATTACAGAGCCGAGCTCCAATCATAATCTGACTTACCTGGGGCATGGTCCCACAAGCAACAGGGATTGGATTAAGATCCTGAGTCTGGGCGTGTTTTAGGCAGAGATTCAGAAAAGGAGTTCGATCTCGATTTTCTGCACTTGTCCACAAACGCGGCCAAATTAAGGCGTCCAGTCCAATCCTCTTTGCTAGTGAGACATCGGCCCTGGGGCTAGCTCGAAGATGACATCTGGAAGGTCGTTGCCCTTTCTTAAAAAAAAAAAAAAAAAAAAATGGTCCCCGTATGAAGATGTGACACATAGATCGAGACATAGTCCAACTTCTTTCGTTGATGGAGTGATTTGTCTGGTTTATTCCGTCAATGAAAGGGACTTCAGCCTGCTAGGTAAATAGCCATGCAGGGTCCTCGTTGTACCGGCTGCACAGGTGGGGCCTTCTGGAGATGCAAGTATCACGGGTACACCAACAACCAGAAAGAAGTAGCTACTAGTGCAAATAAAGCCAATTGAAATGCAATTCTCATACGAATACTCCTATGATTCTGTCGAACAGATTTATTTTTATTTTATTCATGACCCCTCTCAAAAAGGCAATCAATACAGTTCTCTTGAKGGGATGCAGCTCAGTGGGTACACCCATGCAATGATGAAATACAGACCCAACATCGAATCCGGACTAAAGTGAAAAAATATATATACATATATGATATCTGAAAACAGAAAAAGAAAAAGAAAAGCTCGGGACATACTGGTGGTTTAGGAGAGGCGAGCAGTTCAACACAACAGGGCAAAAAAAACTACGTAATTGCTCTAGTGGGAAGTACATTATAGTTAGTTTCAGGTACTCACCTGGGCCCAAGTCCCACTTACCCGAAATACTCACCCCGGCGCAAGTCAAACTTAGTACCGGATTGCTCACCTGGGCCGAAGTCCCACTTACCCGAATTACTCACCGGGGCCCAAGTCCCACTTCACCTGGGCTAAAGTCCCACTTCGAAATACACACCAGGGCCCAAGTCCCACTTCCCCGAACTACTCACCTGGGCCTAAGACCCACTTCCTCAAGTTACTCACCTGGGCCCAAGTCCCACTTCCCCAAGTTACTCACCTGGGCCCAAGTCCCACTTACCCGAATTACTCACCTGGGCCTAGGTCCCNCCAAGTCCCACTTACCCGAATTACTCACCTGGGCCTAGGTCCCACTTCCCCAAGTTACTCACCTGGGCCCAAGTCCCACTTACCCGAATTACTCAGCTGGGCCTAGGTCCCACTTCCCCAATTTACTCACAAGTCCCACGAACCCGAATTACTCACCTGGTCCCAAGTCCCACTTACCCGAATTCTTAATTTTCGACCGTAGATTTCAAAAATCAAGGGCCAGAAAAAAGGAAAAAAAAACTGGAGCATCATCCCTCTGAGAAAAAGAAAGAGGAGAAATAATCGCACCATTTCTTCTTCTTCTTTTTTTTTCATAAGAACCTAACCTATACTTTTTTATTCAAAAACGAAGCTGCATTCTTCTCTCAATTTCACCTTTCACTACCTACCTACCTACCTACCTACCTACCACTCCTCCTAAGCCTATACACGGAACCCCTGCAAGCATATCTACCCCTCATAAACAACAAGGGGATGCATGTTGCCCCCCACCCTCATCGGCCGTGGTCTATAGTGCAGGTGTGCAGTCCCCGTTTGGCCGTGATTTGGGGGGGGGGAGCGGGCGGAGCTCCAACCCAAAGAGCCAATCATTTTGCCAGTAGCTGCGCCTCCCATCTACTTCCCCCACCCCCATCAACTAACGACATTGTCTATGGCCAGGTCTCTTTTTTTTTTCTTCTTTTCTCGAAACTTCTATTTCATAAACATGGACACGTCCTGAAACCTGGAGCCAAGTCCCACTTGCAGAAATGCTTCATTCCTTGCAATTTTAATTTGCAAAAAAAAAAAAAAAAAAAAAAAAAACGTTATTCCTGACAAGGGATCTCGGCAATCTACTGGTAGTGTCAGAAATGAAGAATACGGATAAGTGGGACTTGGAGCCGGGTCAACAGCTGCAGCTAGGCAGGGGGAGAACGACGGAGGAGGGATGTGGAAAAGAGAAAGAAACCCGTAGTCGCTGGACAAAGTCGTCAATCCCGAGGTCCAGATGAATATTAGCGGCCCCTTCTGAGGTATCAAACGAATGGGACAGATCAAGAGCCCAAGAAATTGGCTCTCACCGTAGACGACACAATATTAACAGTCAGAAATCGACGAGTTTGTCAACATTAACCACTATACCCCATGAATCATCGCTACTCTCTCTCTCTCTCTCTCTCTCACACACACACACACACACACACACACACCGTGCGTGCATGTCTGTGGTTATGTCTCAACCTTGTGTATTACTGTACACGCTTCTGGAGAAGAGTACAAGCGTCTGTCTGCACTAAGCAGATTGGTTGAATCTAACGAATTTATAACTGCCTCTCTTGTCTGTTCTACTCTCATCTTACACCTAGACTACCACCCATCATATGTAACCGGACCTAACCACATCGCTCTATCAGTCCTGCTGGTCTCCCAGGTTTCCGGATCAGAACAGTGTTTGCCTGTTAATCAATCAACCAACCAATCAGTCAACAACGGATCGATCAGTCAATTCACCAATCAACCAACCAACCAACCAACCAACCAACCAATCAATCAATCAATCAATCAATCAATCAATCAACCAACCTTTTTGCCAACCCAGCAGATGAACACCAAGTTGTGCTACACTGCCAGGGCACACACAACCACTCACCAGCATACAACCCCAACCACACTAAAACACAGCCACACGTCGCGGCATACGACGACATACGCCGGCACACACACACACACACACACACACACACACACACCGCCAACGGACAGAGGTCCGGGTCCCGAGTCAGAATACTGTTTTCTATCGTTGCACTGGCACTAGGCCGCAAGGATCCCGCTCGGTACTCGTTCTTCTTTCTCGACCCCCAACCAAGGTAAATCTTGTGGACTAGGTGGGAGAACGACGACAAGTGGCCGCTTGGATCGTCGCGACGACCGACGGGCATTCCCGTGGGGATCCCGATTTCCACGACGACCACCGCGACCCCCCTGCTCGTTGCCATTCCCAGACCGCGGGGAGGACGTCCCGACCGCTCCCACTGAGGCTTCTCCTGGCTGCTCTGCATGGACGTAATCCCCCCTCGATGATGATGCTCCACCCGGCTGAGATTCATCAGTCCCTATCCCGACAGCCACCGCGACCTCGATCCCAATCCTTCCCACCGCGATCGGCACCGACGACGTCGATGACGCTTGATCGTGCATGGCCATCACCGTTCTCCGGCTATCCAATCCACCATCTCCTCCTCCTCCTGCTGCTTCTGCTGCTGCTGCCTGCCCTGCCACGTCATTCCCCTCCACGTCAATTTCGTCCGTCCTCCTTGCAACTGATAGACCACAGAACATTCCACGAAGACTCACCCAAGCCGCAGCGATACGCTGGCCCAGCCAAACGATCCCAATAGCATGAAAACCACGCTTCATCAACCTCCAAAATGGTACTCTGAAGAAGAGGAGCAGACACAAAACAAGTCCCGGCCCCCAAATTAGAAGCCAATAGGAAAATGATATGCGTCTTCCGCAATTCTCGCAATTGTCATTTCCGGAATCCACTGTCACCATCTGCAAGAGTCTACGGCGATTCGATCCCCCGCTGATGATGGCCCGATTAGGAAACTCGCTCTCCTGCACCGCCGCCTTATCTACCATCCCCATCCCTATCGGACGGATAGGACGACGGACAGGACGCGGAGCATCTGCAAACGCGGCTGTTGTTGCTGACTGTCTAATCTCCTTCTCCCTGTTCCCCTCTATGATCGCTTCCTCCCTCTTCTCCTCCACTACCTCTTCGCCTCCATCACGGAAGGATGCCCTATGATGATGGCCCCTATCTAATAGCCTAAAAAGGGGCAGAGAGAGGGAGTTGGACGTGAAAAGACAGCCACCGCTGTCTCGACGACCCTTGAAGCCTTGACCAGGACCGTCGGTTCCGAATAAATCCAACTTCACGATCTGATTCATTGAGACCATTGGGTCCTTTGGAACTAAAAATAGACCCCATCCTTTTCTTATCCGTCGCTTCAATAAGGAATCAATGAAGTGCGTAAGTTGATCTTTTTTGATTGGCGTACACAATGCACGACGATTCACGGACCGAACAAGGTCACCCGCCGTAGTGATTGAACGATAATCAGACCCATCCTGACCACTCCTCCTCCTCCTCCTCCTCCTCCTCCTCCTCCTCCTTCTGCTGAGATGGTCTTGACTTACATCCATCGGCTGAATATGAGTAGCAATACGAGGAGGTCCAAGCAGAGTAGTAGTAGTAGTGGTAGTAGTAAGAGCAGGAGGAGGAGGAGGAGGAGGAGGAGGTCGGGAAGGAGGAGAGCCTGCGTGTATTGTCATACTACCGAACGCATCTGAGGAATGGCGTCCAGATGCACCTGGATCGGGATCGGTCCGATCGGGTTCGAGATCGAGAGAGAGATCGGACTCGGAATTGGAGCAAACCCAAATGGCGTTGATTTTTGTCGCGACGCGTGTATGCCGCCCAAGGGAGCGACTGCGTCCGGATCGGGACAGACGAACTTCATCGCCTCGCGACAATGACAGCGCAAAGGACCCATCCCGCCAGCCGAAGCGATTGAGGTTCGATGCCCTGACCGCCTCCCGCCAGCCGAAGCGATTGAGGTTCGATCCGCTGACCACCGTCGAGGGAGCAATGAGCGAGAGAAGGATCAGCTGCAGACGGAAAGGAACCGAGACCGGAATCGCCGTCGGTACGCATTTCTCTCGTCTCCAGTAATTAGATTGCGGTTCGATCCCCTGAGCACGGCAATCGATGGCCGACAGCCGTAACATTGCACTAAGCAATCCGGACCCTACTTGTTGGTGCTAATCAGGGGCAAAGGCTCGTCTTCCCCCCCGCGAACTCCCCATCCACCCGCGGACATTCCGCGCGCATGCGGCGGTCTCGGAACCTCCCCGTCACCCCTCGCCCACCCGCTCTCCTCCTCTCCTCCTCCAACGCCGTCGCCGTCGTCGTCGTCGCTGTCGTCGTTGGCAGCGCCTTCAGTCTTCCCTCTTCGTCCGGTGATCGGGTTCCTTCTCCGCATCTCGCGAGACCATTCCAAGGACTGATAGGAAGGGAGGGGGAGAAGGGATGGAGAGAAGAGGTTAGGGAGAGAGAAGGAACTAAAGGGGAATAGGAGGTATATGGTCTACGGGAAGAGAGAGAGAGAGAGAGAGAGAGAGAGAGAGAGAGAGAGAGAGAGAGAGAGAAAATTTGGAGAGAGAAAACGCTTGGGGGAGGGAGAGAACTCGAGGGGGATATGACGTATAGGGTCTACGAGAGAGAGAGAGAGACGCTGACACAGACACAAAGACGTGAGTGAACCCACAACGGTCGAGCACTGGGAAACTGCATTGGCGAGAGGAAGGAATGAGCTCCCATTTACGAGATTGAGGACAATTCGCCGTTGTCGCCTCGTATCGGGCAACGTCTGGGCCAATGAACCCAGGAAACGGTAGACAGAACTCTCGACTGAAGGCACACTCACACCAGGACCTTGTCTAGTAAGGGTATACTCACACTAGCGGTCGTTTTCTCGACTGAAGGCACACTCACACCAGGACTTTGTCTACTAAGGGTATACTCACACTAGCGGTCGTTTTTGCTAAATCGCAAAATCTGCTATGCTGTTAGAGTCACACTGTTAGGCCACGCTACGCGTGGTGGCACAGCCACGGTCTTTCCGTCATTTATGTTGAGCTCGGGTTTTGCGCACAGTGCATTTGTTTCTGCTTCCCTGATGTCGAGCCGAAAGGTCGTGCCCGGCAACCCCCCATGCAATAGGAGGGAGGCTATGCTATAGCATGGTCGCGTTTTGTGCTCGGGTCCAGTGTTCAGCTGTGTGACATTGCTAAGTCGTGTTCAAGTGTGTGGGACGGGGGGCTCTGGCCCCCCTCTCCCACTCCCCACCCCCCTGCAATAAGGGTCCTCTCACATAGCAGGTCCGATTCGAATGCCATTTTTTTCCCGATTCCATGCCATTTTTTTCCGGATTCCATGACAGACATTCGGCTGCATTGGTGCAGGTCCGTGTCACTTGATGGGTGAAGCCATTAAACCACCAGTACTTGGCCCTGCTATTGAAGCCGAGCCTGAATACCCCTGCGAGCCTATTTTCGCTGAGCCTTGTTCTTTTCGTGGAAAAAGTCGGTACTGGTACTGGTATCCCGTTTCAAAACTGCAGCCTGAACGCAGGTTTTTTGAATACGGACATCTTCTAGTCCTTTCACCCACTTCCTGCACAGCGTTTTCGTACAGAGCAGGGTTAGTTTTTTTTTGTTTTTTTTTTTCGTTTGGTGTTTCCGGTGTCCGTACAGTCGCCGCGCGTCTGCTGTGCTGCGTGGCCAACGGACTGGTCCGTTCGTTCCCGCCTCCACCTTCTT